ACGTATTGTATTGGCAGTCTTTTTCCTTGTCAAGTATATTAATAGTCTATATGACTCAGTTGTTTCTGGAATAATTTTTATAAATTCAGGACCACTCAGTCTTAGCTTAGAGTCAGATGGGTGGATTATTTGCTTCGAATTTAGTGAGAATAGAGTCTAGAATTTAATATGTCAGGGTTTTGATGTATTGAGCTGTTCTGCAAAACTGCAATATGTGGAGGCTTGTGATTCATATTGTTGACACAAGGCAATCTAGGGTGATTGCGCTTTTTACGCAAGCGAAGCTAGTTTTCAAGCACTAGAAAGATGCCCTGCATGCTCGTTGGAATCAGGTGAGGAAGAAGAATGGGATATTGTTATTAAATGAAAAAGAAAGTAATAAAGAAAGGGAACAACTTTGTTAAAAACCTTGTTTCCTGGAAAGCCGGTTCTGCTGCCATGAGCAAATCGATTGCTTTGCTTGTCGAAGGTGACAGGATTTGAATTCTAGAAATGAATCTGATAGGGTTTTAATGAATTGAACTGTTCTGCAAAACGCCAGTAAGCGGACGCTTGAGATTCATATTGTTGACACAAGGCAATCTAGGGTGACCAACAGCTGTGGACACCCCGCAGCAGAAGTACCCACAGGAGCACATGCATCATCCGACAAATCAGCCGAAGACGGAGAAAAGAAACCTGCCAGAGGCTGTGGCCAAAAGCCACCAAAACAACACAAATAAATGTGAGTCTAAATTTTTTTTATTTGCACCAATGTGGAACACATAAATAAATAAATATACTCATAAGTGCCAAAATAATTATATAGGTGGCAAAAAAATGTATGTTGACTGGTTTATACTACTACCCTAACTTGCCTAAAGAGCTTTCTGGCATTGGTAAGGGACGATAAAAAAAACGTAAGTTTTCGTGAATATACATATGGTGTTTACTATTTGTACGTGCGTTTTATTCATGGTTTTAGGCAAGACCACTCTCCAGGAACTCTGGCCTTTGTCTTTGGCCTGGGGCGGACAAACGATCTCGGAACGGACTCACTCAACTGGTTGATACTTGCCGTCGCTCGCCTCTTCGTCTCTCCTGTTGCGTAGGCCTGGCCGCGCTTAGGGTCTCCGGTCCAAAAAAAACTTGGCGGCCTGGCTGGCGATCTTCGGCGTGAAACTCGGTTGCCTGAAATCCCCTTTTGGCAGTTTCGAAGTTTTTTCTTCTTTTGGCGGTTTTTCATTTTTGGTTTAATTAAACAAAGTTCATTTACATTTTATGGTATTTCTTGAACCACCATTTGGCTGCCTGGCAACTTTTGTTCATGTCCAAAATTTATGCATGTCTAGGTATCGTCACCGACAGGTTCAATGGTTGTTCAAAACTTAGAAACGCAGTTAAGGGGACTTTATGCCCAGCACGCCCGCCGTTCACCGCTGAGAAAGGCGAAGTTTCTGTACATTTGGGCAGCAACAAGATCGGTGCTGAATTTCGGTCCATGCATACATCGAAAAGGTGGTCACCGTTGCTGCCCATATGCACAGCTGCATTTCTGGGCCAACGGCACAGTTGGAGGCCAAAGGCATTACGAAGGGCACCATTTTCGCTCATTCCCCTGCGAGCGTAGGGCACCCGCCTACGCTCTCCCACTTTTTTTTCACTCAAGGCAGTGGATCCTGAGCTAGGCGTTGCCACCCCTGCGAAATTTGGGGACCCCTGCTCTATGGTGCTTAGGGCCCTCACCTATATATCGATATCCCCTAGAGACTTCACCATGCAACAATGTATAAAGAATAATGCCTTATTTTACACTCGGATTCTAGTTGCCTGAAGAAATAGACCACAGTGTGTTTAAAAAAAATATATATATAACATAAAATCCTAAACAAATAAATAAAACTGCCTAAAATCTCAATTCCTGCAACTGTGGTAAGTCCTAGACTAAGAAGTGCGAAAAAGAAGGAGGGATAACATAGCAGGCGCCACCCCACCGGCGTCAGCCACAAAAAGATATGCGGATTATTTAGACATTTTTGGCCTGGAAGGAGAAGCCCCTGAACTCAAGAAATCAGCAAAAATCATTAATAAAGCGAATAAAACTATCCAAAACAAATTCCAAAGAGAATGCAAATAGAGAAGTAACAAAAACAAATGACATCTCTTCTACAGAGATTAGTGACAGCTCAATGAGTGACACATCATAAATACACTAATGTTAATATGGGATCAGCGGACAATTATCTTAAAAAGCTACCCAACTCAGCAATTAAGTACCTGAAAAACCCAATTACAAACAGCAACAAAGACAACGAAAATAGGAATTAAGTCTTGATTTCAAACATATATAACTCAGATACCACCAAAAATGGTCCAATTATTGAAAAACCAACGTTCCTGTATGATGCTGAACATGTAGGAGCTGCTTGCGTGCTAGTAGACACAAGTCAAAGCGAAGGCATCCAAAACAAAAACGTAAAAAATTGACTATTCCTTTTCGAAAAAATTCGACACCTTAAAGTCAAAGGTCTGAAGAGCATAACGGCGCTAGGAGTAACTCTATACAATTTGTATTTTGATGATGCTACCAATGCAAACAACATAATTAACAAGTAAGAGGTTCTAGTCGGGAGCTCCCGACTAGGGGATACCCTGAATCCTCTTCTTCCAACAGGCGATAGGTATAAAATGAAAGATACTTGATATATATATACTATACTATTCTAGAAGCTACATGTCAAGTTTGGTGATTTTAGCTCTTATTATTTACCAAAATTGCTCAAAAAACAGGATTTCGATATCGGTTTTCATCGATCGCTTGGCAACGGGGCAAGTTATAGAATATCGGAAACAAACTCGATCTGCGCGGGCACTAGGAAGACCTACAGCTAAAATTGCAAGTCTCTTGCTCTTATAGGTTCTGAGATCCTTGCGTTCATACATACGGACAAACGGACGGACGGACAGACGGACGGACGGACAGACAGTCGGACATGGCTAGATCGACTCGGCTGTTGATGCTGATCAAGAATATATATACTTAACTCCGACTGGGGTCGGAGATGCTTCCTTCTGCCTGTTACATACATTTGCACAAATACATTATACCCTTTTTACCCATTTTCAATGGGTTCAGGGTATAAAAATGACAGTCTCAGCCAATTTAACTACAAAGCTTTCGTCCCGAGGAACTACACGGAGACATATGGACACATATAGTCCGCGGGGTACCAACAAGCTGGTCAGACGAGGATATTTACAATAACATTCAATCTGAAATTAAAATTAAATCGGTCGAGAAAATAATGAGGAGAAAAAAAATGAAGCGGGTGAAGTATTAAATGAGACTATATTAGAACCAACTGAAACAGTCAAAATATACTTCCTAAATAATGAAATACCCAAATCAGTGCAACCTTTTAACATTTTCTCCTTAAAAGTAATGCACTTCTTCCCAAATGTAAGACAATGCTTCAATTGTGGACGACTGGGACACACTAACTCTAGGTGTAAATCCAAAAAACGATGTCTCAGCTGTGGCAAAGAAATTGGATGGCCCCCTGAATGCAAAAGTGGAAAATGTATCTTATGCAATTGTAGTGGACATCACTCCTGGGAGAAGAGCTCCTGCCCAGTGTGGAACAAGAAAACCGATATTCTAAAAATCATGACAATAAAAAAACTTGCCAGAAAAGAGGTTGTAGAAAGCTATTCTCTCAACAACAATGAAATATACACCAAAAAAAAATATGAAGCCAATTTCCCCCAACTAAGTCCAAAAATAAAAAACGTGATCAGCAATGACACAAGTGTCAATTAAATCATCAATAAATCGAAATACAGGAAGGCGGTGCAGCAGGTCGTGGGATTCAATAAGACACGCCCACACTTCAGTCTACCCTCATACACTAATGATACAAGCGATTAGATATACAATTACCCAAAGAAGGATGAAACTACAGCAATATGTAAAGAACTATTTCAACTATTTTCTCCACTTTTCCATGATAACAATATAATAAAATTGGGAAAAGACAAATTTGAAAATACACTTAAACATCAAAATGAACCACTTAACTCATACCCAACGAGAAGGAAGGGCTATCTTCGGCACGCCGAAGATTTAATACCCTTGCAGACCCAACCTTTTCATAATGCTCATAGTGCTTTGCCCGTATCTAAGAAGCACAGGGAAAATAGTTAATGACAGTTAATTAACCGAGTATGGTTAAGATGTCTTGAAAAACAAAAAAAATTTCCATATAACAACTTAATTTCGACCGATCGTTCCCATGGCAGCTATATGATATAGTTGTCCGATCCTTATAGGATTTTGCATATTTTTGGGGAGCATAGTAAAACTAATAAATGCCGAGTTTGGTAAAGATATCTTGAAAAAGAAAAACATTTTCCATACAACAGCTTAATTTTCGACCGATCGTTCCTATGGCAGCTATATGATATAGTGGTCCGATCTTAATAGGATTTTGCATATAAATGGGGAGCGTAGTAAAACTAATAAATACCGAGTTTGGTCAAGATATCTTGAAGCACATAAAAATTTTCCATACAAAAACTTAATTTTCGACCGATCTTTCCTATGGCAGCTATATGATATAGTTGTCCGATCTTAATAGGATTTTGCATATATATGGGGAGCGTAGTAAAACTAATAAATACCGAGTTTGGTCAAGATATCTTGAAGCACATAAAAATTTTCCATACAAAAACTTAATTTTCGACCGATCTTTCCTATGGCAGCTATATGATATAGTTGTCCGATCTTAATAGGATTTTGCATATATATGGGTAGCGTAGTAAAACTAATAAATACCGAGTTTAGTCAAGATAACTTTATAAACAAAAATGTTTTTCATACAAGAACCTACTTTTCGACCGATCGTTCCTATGGCAGCTATATGATATAGTGGTCCGATCCAGCTGGTTTTGACATATGAGCTGCGTGCAACAGAAAGAGGGAATTCTGCAAAGTTTCATAATGATAGCTTTAAAACTGAGAAACTAGTTCGCATAGAAACAGACAGACGGACATGGCTATATCAACTCGGCTGTTGATACTGATCAAGAATATATATACTTTATGGGGTCGGAGATGTCTCCTTCTATGCGTTTCACATTTCACGACAAAATTATATAACCCTCTGCAAGGGTATAATAAGATCCCAAAATACTGGTGGTCTGATGACCTACAAAAAATGTACAGACATGTGCTAGCAAGCAAAGGCCAACAAGTTCCCCTCCATTATCAATTTCAACAAAGCCATTGCTCTAAAAAAACTCTGGAATAATGCAGTTGCCAAAGCAAAAAAGAAAGGTACACTAGCAAAATCAGCATGTTGGACAAGCAACCGAACACAAGAACGGCCTGGAGATTCCTCAACTCCCTGAAAAATAGCCCACAACCAGAACCGTCCAAACTCTGCCCATCTATGCACAAGCATTTTCTACAAATGTTAAAAGATCAGATATCACGAATAACCAATTTCCAGGAACTCAGCTTCCCAAAAGAGCAAAATTCTGCAGATGTGCTCGTTTCCATGTCAGACCTCACCGAAACCCTGGATCACAAAAGATCCACGGCGGGGGGACAGGATAAAATAACATATGACATGCTCAAGGCATTAAATGAATACGGGAAAGCAAACCTCATTGACATATACAATGGCCTCTTAAAAGACTGTATAATTCCTCCGCAGTGGAGAATTATTAATATAGCACCCATACTCAAACAAGGCAAAGACCCTATAAACTTCGAGAACTATAGGCCAATATCTCTAATATCGGTCCTTGCAAAAACAAATAACATGATGATCAAAAACAGAATTTACAAATATGTAGAAGAAAATAACATCTTACCTATAAAGTCCTATGCATACAGAAAAAACAAATCCACGGCCAT